CTGAGAGTGTGTGTGTGACGTGCACGTTCCTGAGGGTGTGTGTGTGATGTGCACGTTCCTGAGAGTGTGTGTGACGTGCACGTTCCTGAGAGTGTGTGTGTGACGTGCACGTTCCTGAGGGTGTGTGTGTGTGACGTGCACGTTCCTGAGAGTGTGTGTGACGTGCACGTTCCTGAGAGTGTGTGTGTGACGTGCACGTTCCTGAGGTTGTGAGTGTGACGTGCACGTCCCTGAGGTTGTGTGTGTGACGTGCACGTTCCTGAGAGAGTGTGTGTGACGTGCACGTTCCTGAGGGTGTGTGTGACGTGCACGTTCCTGAGAGTGTGTGTGTGACGTGCACGTTCCTGAGAGTGTGTGTGACGTGCACGTTCCTGAGAGTGTGTGTGTGATGTGCACGTTCCTGAGAGTGTGTGTGTGACGTGCACGTTCCTGAGGTTGTGTGTGAGACGTGCACGTTCCTGAGGTTGTGTGTGAGACGTGCATGTTCCTGAGAGTGTGTGTGAGACGTGCATGTTCCTGAGAGTGTGTGTGTGACGTGCACGTTCCTGAGCATGTGTGTGTGACGTGCACGTTCCTGAGGGTGTGTGTGTGTGATGTGCACGTTCCTGAGAGTGTGTGTGACGTGCACGTTCCTGAGAGTGTGTGTGTGACGTGCACGTTCCTGAGGGTGTGTGTGTGATGTGCACGTTCCTGAGAGTGTGTGTGACGTGCACGTTCCTGAGAGTGTGTGTGTGACGTGCACGTTCCTGAGGGTGTGTGTGTGTGACGTGCACGTTCCTGAGAGTGTGTGTGTGACGTGCACTTTCCTGAGGTTGTGTGTGTGGCATGCACGTTCCTGAGAGTGTGTGTGACGTGCACGTTCCTGAGAGTGTGTGTGTGACGTGCACGTACCTGAGGTTGTGTGTGTGACGTGCATGTTCCTGAGAGTGTGTGTGGCGTGCACGTTCCTGAGGTTGTGAGTGTGACGTGCACGTTCCTGAGGTTGTGTGTGTGACGTGCACGTTCCTGAGAGTGTGTGTGTGGCGTGCACGTTCCTGAGGTTGTGAGTGTGACGTGCATGTTCCTGAGGTTGTGTGTGTGACGTGCACGTTCCTGAGAGTGTGTGTGTGGCGTGCACGTTCCTGAGGTTGTGAGTGTGATGTGCACGTTCCTGAGGTTGTGTGTGTGACGTGCACGTTCCTGAGTGTGTGTGTGACGTGCACGTTCCTGAGAGTGTGTGTGTGACGTGCACGTTCCTGAGGTTGTGTGTGAGACATGCACGTTCCTGAGGTTGTGTGTGTGACGTGCACGTTCCTGAGGTTATGTGTGAGACATGCACGTTCCTGAGGTTGTGTGTGTGACGTGCACGTTCCTGAGCGTGCACAGACAGAGCAGCTGCAGCTTGTGTTCACTTCCTGTAGTCCTGCAGTTTTCCAGCTGAAATGAAAAAGCATCATGAAGATGAACTTTACAGTCTCTAGTTACCTGTTCATTGAAACACATGGAGGTGTCTCACCTGGTGACTCACAATGTAACTTTATGAACTCTAATGAACTTATAATGATGCTCCTACTCTCTGAAGGTGAACCCATGGTACCACACCATCTCTCAGTCGGACAGTCTGACCAGTTTGATCAAAATCCTCCAGTTTAAAATCCTCACTGCTCAGATGAATCCTCCTCAAAGATACTTCCTCCTCTTCCTCACATCTTGTTCTTTGGGAAACCTTCAAAATGAAAACAGGACATTTGTGTCTACACAAAAAAACATACTTAACTAACATACATACAAAAACAACTTAAACAAAACTCCAGTTTTGATGCATATCTGTTGATAATGAACCAAAGCTGCTGAAACAGTGAGTATGCTTGTTAGCAAAATATTCCTGTCATCAGATCTCAGTCAGCTTCATTGCAGCTGAACACCGTGTTACACTGAACATCACATCAGCTGGTGGACATAAATACAGTACAGTAATATTATATTCACAAAATACTAACAATAATATGTTCGTGTTACTGTGAAAAGTTATCCCCCGAGACCTGACGTCAACAGTCCGTCGATCTGAACAGAAAGAAGCTGCGAAGTGCTGAGACATCTTCTGAAATCAGGTGTCTCTTGTAAATGAGTCCTCGAGGCTCAATGGGATTACCTGTCTAAATAAAGGTTGAATGACTGATTTAACCAAATGACGACCGTTCCAAGATGGCGGCAGAATATCCTGCGCCGCAGCAGCCGATGAGGAATCTAGTGTTTATATATTTATGGTTGAGTCCGCCTCTCTCTCTCTCTCTACATCCGGGTCACGAAGTCCATATATCTCTACATCCGGGTCACGGTTCCTCCTCACACTAGAACCAGCATGGCAGCGAAGAGCAAGAGGCACATACATTCCGACCCGGTTCGGTCCGAAGAAAGGGTTTTGCAGCAGGAGGAGGATGAGGAGGGAGGAGGTGAGGACGAGCTGAGCCTAGAGGAGGTCCTGCGGCTCGGAGGCACTCGGGTGAGTCATGCTCGGTTCTGTGTCTGCACTCTGGATAGGTTCTGTGCTTTGGGTCGGTTCGGACGGAAGTTTACAGAACAACAGGCTGGGTTCTAGTGCGCAGTCCTGCTCGGGACCCGGTTCGGAACAAGAACAGTTTCAATGTTTTCAGCATCTGGACCACCAGAACCGGGTCCAGTTAAAGCCTCCCAGAGTGTCCTCCGGAACTCATGGCGTTGTTTTTAAACTCCGCGTTATTAAAAAATAAAAAGTTAAAACAAATACAAAAAATAAAAGTTGCTTTTGCCCCGAAACGTCCTGAGTTTTTAAAAAACCTTTATTAACACCGTGTTTTATTAACAGTTTTATTAACACCGTGTTTTATTAACACCGTGTTTTATTAACACCGTGTTTTATTAACACCGTGTTTTATTAACAGTTTTATTAACACCGTGTTTTATTAA